AATACTAAATTAATTGTCAAAGTTAAATGATCACTCCACTAATATTTTACTATGCACTCTCTGTTCATTTTTATTTATTATTTACTATAGTTAAAAATAATTATCTAATTATATTTGTCAATTCAGAAAATCAAAAAATAATTGATTATTTTGTGTCTTTTTATCCTTAATATCAAATACTACTTCTTCCCTCTCATATTAGTTCAACATTTTTCATTTTATACAGTAATTAAGAAATCATATATAAAAAAATAATTTTACTAATTTACTCCTTAAAAAACTTCTTGAGATTTTTACAAGCTAATGTGAATGCATTAAAAAGAATTATTACAAAGGCAATATAGGAAAAGTTTAATAAAAACTTTTTTGATTTAGTAAGGTGTACAACTAATACGAGATAACTGTTTTAAGATAATACACTTATGATACATTTACAATCCAGGCAGAATATCTTTTAGGGAAAATTTCATATCTGTCAAATGGGTTAAGCAAATAATGTTCCAATAACTACATTTATTTAAATACACTCCATGATTATAGTTTAGTTAGATATAGAATTTTAGATTTGTATATTTTAATTTTTTATTTTAAATTTAAAAAATAATTTCTTTTAATGGATACATGCGCTAAATACAATAACATGAAATTTACAATATCTATTGATTCACTCTAATCGTTTTTTAATAAAATATTTTATCCAAAATGAGTTCCACTATGATATTAACACCTATATTTATACAAATTAATTACTATATATAAGTATATGCATATATATAGAGAGAAATACAAATATTTGTATAAAATATGGAACTATTTGTATAAATATAGAACTATTTTTATTGGTATATAATTATAAACTGTATATGTGTATGAACATATAACTTTAAATATACAAATATATAAATACACCCCAATATAGTTATGTATATAGAAGTGTATTAGTAATAACTAATAAATCTATAAATTGCTATATATATTTAGTATTTATACAAATAATTGTAATTCTTCGGATCTGTCCAGATCTAATGAACCACCTTTTGACTCAAAATAATCTTGTGTGAAACTCGGTGAATATTTGGACGGCTGCCTGCAAAATCTTGTATTGAACCAATTAATTTTTTTGGATGCGACCCGTAATAGTGAAATCACGATTGGAAGGGAGAGAGTGAATTTTAAAATTTTCAAATTGAATACATATGAGTGGTTTCAGGAGAGATTTAGAGAATAAAGAGAGGAGAGATAAAATTGTATTTGTATAAATGAGTATATAAAAGTCGAGAAGTCAATACCATTGATTTATATACTTAAATACATAAATTTTACCTTATATACGTGATGTATTTTTTTTACTTTGTCCCACTCCCACTCCCTAGATCTGGCCAGTGCGTACTATCCAATAGCTATTTCTACTGCGCCCCAGTCATAAACCTTTTAAATATCTGTGGCATATCAAAAAGGTTTTATCATGGACTTTGGGAAATTATTGGTGCTGTGATTTGCGAAAAAATTGTCTGCTAAATTTTTACGATGTTGAGAAAACTTGATAGAAATTTATAGGAATATTTAGCATTAAATTTGGAATATATATGACGATATTAATTATTTTACCTAATAAACTTGATTTCACTTTTAGATAATTTAAATCACATTATTGTGATTAATCATATTTTTAACTTTTTCTTGTCACTTTTTTACTACTTGATACGATAAATTGATTCGATAAATCTCACATACAAGCAGATTATTTAAATATAATCACAAGTAATTTTATTTAATAGAATTTTTATCATAAATAAAAATTAATTGATAATAGTAAATTAAATTACATGAATCATTAATTATATCTGACTTATTAAGTACTCAAATACATTGTTTAAAATGTCGTTAAAGTAGAATTACTTGCAATTACAATTTAACCAACAATGCTTGAGTACTTAATAATTAGTCAATTATAATCAATTATTAGTGTAATTTACTATTATCGATTAATTATTATTTATGATATATTCAATTAAATAAAATCACTTGTAATTATATTTAAATTATCAAGTAACAGCAAAAAAGTAAAAAGAAAAATTCGAAATATGATTAATCACACTAATCTAATTTAGAATATCTAAATATGAAACCAAATTTTTTAGGTAATAATTAGTAGTGTCATATTTCATTCCAAATTTAATACCTAAATATCCCTATGAATCCCTACCTAATTTTCTCAACATCTTAGAATTCAACAAACAAAATTATCCGCAAATGACAACACTAACATCTTGGTGAATTGCTCAGAATCCATAACAACCTTTTTAATATGTTGGGATAAATTCATTCGGCGAAAAATTATATTGTATATATAAGGTAATATATATACATATATATATAATCGAAGAATCCTTTTGTTAACTCAAGACGTTAAATAAGATCGAAAAAGTTAACTAAAGAAGAGAAAGCTAAAAACGAGACATTGTTTATGGAAGAAGACTCTTGGATTGGATTTGGGTTGCTTACAGATGTATAAGGCCACCCATATTTATACTTGTTCATGGATGGTTCTAGAAATTATTCTAGATATTTCTACAAGGATAATTCTAGTGAACGTTGTCTTCTGTCCTAAAATATCTAGATATTTCTTTAATATAATTATTCTAGATTTACACTAGACTATTCTAGAATCTATACTAACCAAAAAAAATGATATTTCAAAAATTAAGTTATCATTTTTCACATGAATGACCGTCTAAAACTCAATTCTTTGAACTTTAATAGAACCTCAATATTGCTATAAATTACAATAATCAAAAAGCTTATTTGAAAATAATTATTTATCAAAAATATTGACTCAAGTAATTAATCCTTTATTATATAGATGTCAAACAAAAAATGATTGGTGAAAATTTCTCCAAATTACTATATTAAGAAAATATTTATCGTTTATAATAATAACATTTTTTTTTTGCTTGATCAATTTTAATATATTCATGATACAATTTTAATATATATTAGAAAGAGTAATTTATCATTCACATGCAATACAAATTTTATTGATGATTAATATATTTATCACAAATTTTAATACACTTATAGTATAATGTGTCAATTTCTTACAAAAAAAAACATAATATATTTTTAAAAACAGTTATAATACATATTTATTGCATATATAATTCATTTTTAATACATATTACAAATTTAAAATTGTATTCCTAATAATATAAGAAAATATCACTAAAATCAGTAGTTATTTGTTAAAAAGTATCAAGTAATTTTTCCTTTTTATTTTAGTTTAGCTTCAGCCCAATTGCTTATTAGTTTTGCAAATTTTTGCATTTGAAACGGCAATTAGGGATGTGTTCGATTGGAGGAAAATATTCGATTTCTCGCTGAAATTGATCAATATTTTTGAAAAATACTTTTATTTTAAAAAATAAGTTACTTAACAGGGATAATAAATTTCAAAAAATCATATTTTGTATTGAATTTCTCTTTCATACCCTTCAAAAATATCCAAGGATTTTTTTCCAATTATTTCATATATTTTTTTATCAAAATATTTATTTTTTATAAACACAAACTTTTTAAATCGAAAAAAATAACTCCCTTAATCAAAGTAGGTAAAACAAATTAAATAAAGAGAAAATTATATAAAATAACAAACTATTAATTCAAATTAAATGATATAGCCTTAATTAATTTTATTTATAATTTGCAGCAAATATTTCATTTTTTGCCATATGATTCAGTATACAGTTAGTCATTTTCGGTAAACAATTACTTCTCCGATATAAAATGTATAAAATACGTTTGTGTTTGTAGAAAACGAAAAAAAAATGTGTATATAAATACATATATTTTTGTCATATACGTTTATGATTATACAATTACAAATCTTTTATACAAATTATAATGTATAAATGAAATTATACAAAACTGAACAATTTGTATAAATTTAGATGTATGTAGTGAATTATACAAATTAAAAGCTCCATAACAAATATAAAATTTCTTAGGATAGCAATTATGCAAATATAACTTTAACATACAAATATAATTTTTATGTTTGCTATATGTGAGTTGCTTATAAATAAACAACAACGCAGTTTTATTATCTCTTCCCGAACCCACCAAACATCCCTACTCCATGTCCCCTCCCTTGACCATCCCAACACACACCATCCTCGAACCACCACTCTCCACTCTTTACTCCTGTCCGTCTATATAATGTTTTGCTAAATTATATAAATCATTTTGGAGTAATAGTTTTTGTTTTCAACACATTTTCCTTTCATACCAAACACACCTGAGTTTAGAGGTGTGGAAAAATCAAACCAATAAATGAGGCGAACTGAAAAACATGTTGTTTGTTTATTGTTATTAAGTTATTAAATCAACAGTATTTTAATATTTTTATAAAAAAATATCGAGTTATCTGTTCAATATTGATTTTTAATAACCATTAAGACTTTACTACATTTACTTGTACAAAAATATTATAAATTAATCTCAATACCTTACTAGTTACTCTCTTTATCCTTTTAAAGTGACTTTTAGTTCGTCACTTCACATTATACAAAATGTCAAAATCTAAAGTAAGAATCCTATTCCTCTTAATTTCTCTCTTGTATATAGTTTTTCATTACATTATTGTTTCGTGTCAAATTTATTAGAGAAGTCATATATTTATTTTATAAGTATTTTCTTATTACTTAAAATCGAACCATTAAAGACCCAAACTGATAAATCAAAAATTGAATCTCTTATTGGTTTAATATTTTTAAAAATCAGATAAACCAAATCGATAATACATAAGATCAAAATCGACACACACCCTACTCGAGCTCATCTTCACCTCCGCTTCTAGCCCCATTTCCTTTACCACACAAACTAACCTTCCATAATATTTATCTCGATTATATATATATTTTTAAAAATAAAAATAATAATCAATTTAATATATATATATATTTTTTTTGTAAAACATTGCCAAACACACCCTTAGGTTGGTGTTTTGTTGAGGAAAAGAAAATCCAATATAAGGGGAGAAGCAGAAGAAAAGGAAATGAGAGGAATTGATGGGAACAAGCCGATGTCGCTGACTACTGCTTCAGCTTCTTTACAATTCTTGCGGAGGTTCATCGCCTCCCCTATAACTTCTCATTCTTCACTCCGGCTACCCAAATCTTCTCTTCTTCCTAATAATACCCTACCTGTTTCCTCTCTCCGTTGCCGTTTCCGGTGCTATTCCGCCGCCTCTACTACAACTATGGCTGATGCTATTTCTGATGCTAATATGGATGCCGTACAGCGCCGTCTCATGTTTGAAGACGAGTTTGTTCTCTTTTACCTATCCCTCATTTGTTTATGTTCAATTTGAGCTGCGTTTGGATTTTTTTTTTGAGTTAACCGTATTCAATATCATTTCTAAATTGCTTTTTTTTAATTGAAAAATTGAGATCAGTTTTATTTTTTTTAGGTGAATGTTGTAAATGAATCACAATTAATTAAATTTATGTGACCTTTAGATTCTCAAAGTCATTGTCTCTCAAGTGTGTTAACTTGTGATATGTAATTCCAGATGATATTGAGACAGTTGCTAGGTTATATGATTTCTACAACTCTTATTACCTCTGCTTTCTTTCAAATGATTTTTTTCTCTGGATCTATGTAGTTAGGGGTGGTTTAGTAGCTGGATAAGAAACAATATATTTGTGTATTAATTTCTGCTTTACTTATTTGACGTTTGGTAGGTAGATAAGAAATAAGTTATTTATGTATATAATTAATGCAAAGTTTGGTTGAGAATTTAGAAATCCGTGTGACTAATATATGTTTAAGTTAACGAGAGAATTTATGTATTATTTTATATTGTATATAAGGTGGAATAACTAATTCCTTTATTATTATTAATACATGCATAACTCTAACTAGCTACCTAACGACCCCATTGCTAACAATTTTCCAGCTCATTTGCCAAGTTTAACAATTTTCCGTGTTTTGACTCTCTCAGGTGTATTCTGGTGGATGAGAATGACCATGTTGTTGGTCATGACACCAAGTATAATTGTAAGTTGAGTTGCCTCTTTCGAAATGTCCCTATCTGCATCTGCATATCTTCTAGTGTATTTGCCTTACTGGCTATAGTTCATTTTGATGTTTCTGTGGTTTTGATCTTAACAAAATGGATTGAAAGCAAAGTGCTTGGAAGTACACATATATTTTTGTTTGAAACTGGTAATGTATGGAAGCGCACAAATAATTAAATTACTAAGAAAATGAAAATGTCCAGTTACCTAAGTTGCTCGGACATGGGTGCGGATTTAGAGGTCTGATCCTCCATGATCTAGAGTTTAAGATTCAGGGACATGAATTCATGTATGGATATGGGTGCGGGGATTTGCCTAAAAATAATTAAAGTATCTAAAAATAGAGATATAAAACCTAAATTATGAGATATTATGTGGAGAACTTGAGGAGAATCTTAGAGGGAGATCAAAGGAAAAGGAGTGACATACAAATTTCTATATTCTAGTTTCTTCAATTTCACCTTAACTTTTGTATTGATTACAGAAATCATTAAAACTCTCCGGACTTCCCCCATCGATTTTGGTCAAAGTTCCCAAAATCGGTTGACTAAACCGGACACGGATCCCACACTCATGTTGTATCGGCACAGGTGCGGCACCAAAAGTGGGGAGTCAAAGCCAGTAACAATGTAATTTTTATCTTTCAGAAAATCTGTAAGCTGCACAGTAACTAGCAGTACCTCTGCAATTGGATAAGAATCCTGTATGAAGCCCTTATATATGATGGTATTGTCAGTTATAAAACAAACTGATGATATTGTCCCTCATCTAAATTAGACAATTGATATTTGGAATGTTATCGGTTGTACTTTTATGTCTATAAATGGTGGAGCTAGAACCTTAATTATGGTGGAGCTAGATCTGCGATCTTCTCATAATTTTCTTTTGTATGTGATCTCTCGATGTATATGAGAGATTGGGACTGCCGTTTCTTTTTTATATGTTTTGCTACTTTGTTTGGTCGGCTTGGTGCATTTGACAAGCTCTCCGCTTGTCACCAAATGGTTGTCTCATATTATAACTAATAATCCATAATTGCAGGTCATTTAATGGAAAAGATTGAAGCTGAAAATTTGCTGCATAGAGCTTTCAGTGTCTTTATATTCAACTCAAAATATGAATTGCTTCTTCAGGTATGTGGCATTGTTTAAGACCAAAGCAATGTAATGGGTGTGAAATTGTCATTTCAGCTTTTGAGAAGTTGATTAGTTAATGTCAAAATGGATAGCAGAAGCTTTAACTAAAGGAAGAGAGGGGGGGGGGGGGGCTGGCAAAAGTAATTCACTAAATTTTGCCTTTTCGATTACTTGTTTGTGAAATGGCTGGTAAATGTAACTCGTCAAATGTTCTTTGGCTTGGTTGAGTAAAATAATGTCCAGTATGATTCCATCTTAGTATTTAGATGACCTATCCAACTCAAAACAAGTATGATAAGCTGCTGTTTTATATTAGATGCGTCTTTATTGGATGCTATTTTTAACTCCATGACGATTAGATCACTTAATATGCTGTCTTATTCTATGAACAGCAACGATCAGCGACAAAGGTGACCTTTCCTTTGGTATGGACCAACACTTGCTGCAGCCATCCACTATACCGAGAGTCTGAGCTAATTGAGGAGAATTCTCTTGGTATATTTTCTGCTTTGCTGAAACGTTAATTTTGAGTATGTTCTCTTTTTCACCTCACCCTATATCAACTGCCAGGGGTAAGAAATGCTGCACAAAGGAAGCTTCTCGATGAATTGGGTATTCCAGGTGAAGATGTCCCAGTTGACCAGTTCATTCCATTGGGTCGTATACTTTATAAAGCTCCATCTGACGGGAAGTGGGGAGAGCACGAACGTAATAATTCAATCTTACATTTCTATCCTGTTTACTGGTTCAGTAACCAACTGCCATTTGCTTTTGATCTCACTCACAGCATTGAGGGTGTTTTGACATCAACTCTTTACTTGTGCAATTAACATTTGTAATGGTGTAGTTACATTATAACTGGAAATTGACCCTAGTCTACTGTTGCAGTTGATTATCTACTATTCATGGTCCGTGAAGTTAACATGAAACCTAATCCAGATGAAGTTGCTGAGGTTAAGTACGTGAACAGAGAACAACTGAAAGAGCTTTTGAGGAAAGCAGATGCAGGTGAGGAAGGTCTGAAGCTATCCCCTTGGTTCAGACTTGTCGTTGACAACTTTTTGTTCAAGTGGTGGGATCATCTTGAGAAAGGAACTCTCAAGGAAGTCATTGATATGAAAACCATCCACAAATTGACTTAAGGAGCTGCGTTGCAATCTGGTTTTACTATCATAGTTTGTTCGTTTAAACTAATAACATCAGTTGTGATAGCATCCTTCTGCATTTAGGTTTGTTGATTCTGGTAGAAGTTGGAAGGAGGTATTTTGTCAACTGATTGCAACATATATGTGGCTTTCTATCTAAACTCAATAAGATCATCACTTGTAATTTGTTGTGGTCCTTTAAATTGCTGTTGTGCTGTATAATCGGAATTTGTGTCCTTTTAGCTTTTGTGTGAATTTGCTATAGTTAAAAATGCGTCCTTTGAGCCATTTCAGATTAGGCAATAACCACAAATAAATATCTTTTATTGACGTAAATATGGAATAGTATGATTTTTCGTTTCAGTGAATCAAGTTTAGCCAGCTTACTTTAATCTGATTTAGCATTTTTATTCATTTGACTAATCCAACGGATGCCGGGGACTAGAGGGTATACGATCGAGTTCGAAATTTAATTAAGTCACAAAAAAAAAATCATTATTTTAGAAAGTAACTAAAATAGGCTTAGTAGAAGAAAAAAGTTCCATTTTATTTAATATTTCAAACGTTTTTCGTTAGTCCCATGATATTTATATTTTAAGATATAAAGGAATTATTTTTTACACTTTATAAAGTGGAAGAAAATCTTACACTTAATAAAAAGTTATTTTACTTCTCCCCTTTCATTTTCAAGACTTCCAAACGATTTTCATTTTGAAGATTAACATTTGATGATCCAATTCGACAACTAAACAGCCCCACACTAAACATCAAAATCTTAAAGATTGGAATAGCACAACCCGACAACATAATAATCTGACCCTACAAATTATATAAATTAGATATTTTTTTCCATCTCAGATTTTCAATACTTTGAATAATGTTGTAATTTGTTCAAAATTTTAGCCAAGTCTTATACAATATACATTCGATTATTAAATTTTGAGTTAAGAGTCCTTTATTCGAAAGAAACAAATGAATTAAGGAATGCACAAATTACAACATTTCAAAATTTTTGAACAAATTACAACATCATTTCAAAGCAATGAAAATATTAGATAGAATTTCTTTTACCTAATTTATATAATTTTTTGTAGGGTCAGATTATTATGTTATCGCGTTGTGTTGCTTTTATCTTTCAATATTTTGATTTTTTAGTGTGAAATCGCTTCAATTGTCAGATTGAAATCATCAAATGCTAATCTTCAAAGTGAAAAACGTCTAGAAGCGATGAAAGTAAAAGGATGAAAAAAGAGAGTAAAAAAGTAAAATAACTTTTTATAAAGTGTAAAATTTTCTTCCACTTTATAAAAGGATAAAAAAACTTACATCTCATAAAGTATTAGAAATATTTCCTTTATATATTAAAATATATACGTTATGAAACTAACAAAAAAGGTCTGAAACATTATATTTTTTTCTTTCAAACCTATTTTAGTTATTTCCCAAAATAGTGACTTATTTTGATCATCTTTTTGTTGCTTATTTAGGTCCCGCACTCGTATACATACATCTCTGTCTCATGTAAATTACAACCCTCAGTCTGCAACTATTTTCAATTACATACATCTGATTGTGCTCAAAATTGACATAGTAAACTCCTCTATAGAAAACCTCAAGACTCCTGTGATTTGGTTGCTCAAACAGAACAAAGATCCCGATATTTATGCTAAAAAGCTACGAAAACGAACGATTTTAACTACTAAGATAGCACTGTCTTTGTCACTAAACCTATAGAGACCAATCTATCCTTGATTTTTCACTTCCAAAAACACTTCACTCGCTTGAATCAGCTGTGTCTTCCCTAGTTATGGAAATGCTTGATGCAGAATCATCTGCAAACTCCGGTGACACGCTCTGTTGAAGCATGGCCTTCCTCTTTCTTCTGCTCTGGCGCCATCTTCTAACTGACTCGGACACATCACTTTCTTCTCGACCTTCCTCCTGTGGTTCTTCCGGTGCTTCTGCTGTTGAATTCACATCAGCACTAGTCATAAAGCTTGTCGCAATCACTGGAAAGACGAGCGGTCTGCACCAGCTGAGGAGAATAACTAGCAGAGTGGCATACATGTACATTGAAGCCCAGACAGATATTGTCCATTTCCACTTGTAAACCAAGTTTTTATACCAAGGAGGCTGAGATTTCAATATGATCTGTGATTGATAAAGTTGGGGCAGACCGAACGTTCCGGCTCGAGGTATCATAGTTATTCTGATTGCTTCTGTCCTTGGAAGACCTTCCTTATGCTTTAACATCGTAACAACAATCGTTTGCGTTTCAGCAGTAAGTCCAAGTACTAGGGGCACACTCATTATAAATTCGCGCATCAGACGGATCGGCAAACTCCTGAATCGTAACATACATGGATGACTTGATGTCGCCATTACCAACCCCTCTTTTGATAATGATTCTGCAACCAACTGATAAAAAGAGGTTATGAATACCTAAAGCAATGTTAGCTTTTTTTTCTTCATTCTGTTTACCTACTATAAGCCAATAGATAGACAACAAACTACAAACTACGAAGGCATAATACATAGAGCAAACACTTAAACTTGGCCTCAAGCTGACAAGTAAGTTCTCTCACTATGCACATCTAGCCACCTCACCTCATCACCACTATATATGTAGGATGACACTCCCAACTTAAAATATAATTCATTACTACATAACACACCTCCAAAATTTATTTGTCACGTTAAAGTCGTCCATGAGAAACTAGTGGGATTAAATTAGAGTATTTAGTTGTGAGTTGAGATCAAGTTTGACTCATCTCCACGATAAATAATTACCTAAACACTTCCAAATTTTTGTGTTACATCCTCAAGAAACAAGAAGGGGACAAGTTCACTCGTCTCCATGATGTGAATGAACCGTTAAGAGTCGTCCATGAGAAACTAGTGGGAACAAATTGGAGTATTTAATTATCAGTTGAGACCAAGTTGACTCATCCCCACGATGTGAATGATCACTCCAACTTACAAAATAATTACCTAAACACTTTCAAATTTTGTGTGTTACATCCTCAAGAAACAAGTAGGGGACAAGTTTTCTCGTCTCCATGATGTGAATGAACCGTTAGAGTCGTCCATGAGAAACTAGCGGGGACAACAAATTGGAGTATTTAGTTATCGGTTGACTCATCTCCACCATGTGAATGAACACCACAACTTACAAATTTCCAAAATTAATGTCCCACATCCTCATCACTCCAAGAGAAACAAGTGGGGACTTAATTGTCAGTTGAGGGGTCTACACATGTACTCTCAAAAAGTTGATATATTCTCAAAGTTGGAGTGTGCTCAGACCAGACCAAATTTAAGGGGTAGGTAAACATGTAATGCAATGAAAACACACACATATATAGAGAGAAATGTACCTGGAAAACACCAATGTCTCTATTGAAATCAGATTCAGGCATTAGTAGAAACAAAGAAACATACATTGTATGCCCAAGAGGCACACCAGCATCATTATCATAACCTCCACCAAAAGAAAAAACAGCCTTTGGATTCCCATCTGCATAATCAAAATACAACGGTTCTCTCAAAATCACAGGTTCTTCCATCCACATCCTCACGAACCCAAATCCCAAAATCCCCGAAACCATCAACAAACTTATCAAAACTATAGCAACGTAAGCAGCTCCAAGAATTCCAGCCCCAAATTTCTTTAGCAGCAGAGCAACTCCATGAAGTAACTTCGAAGAAACTGTAGCTACAACATGTACAGCTACAGAGACTTTCTTTTCACTTTCTTCTTCTTCTTCAAAGATATTAGCAAAAGAGAGGATGTAGAAAATTGGGGAAACTAGTGAAATGAAAACAGTTGTGATGATTTCTGCTTGTGAAGATAGCATTTTTATGAACCAATTTGATGATGATGAGTTTTGAACTGATGAATTGTTGTTCTTTAGTAGTTCATCTTCATTGTATTCTTCCTCTTGCTCATTTTTTTCTTCCATGGAAATCATCACTTGTTAGATGGAAAATGGAAGTTCACGTTACTTGTCACTTGGGGTTTTCTTCAGTTTTTTTTTCTTCCAACAGAGTCCAGATGTGAAGTGCACGAGGAAGAAGGTGAGAGAAGTGGCACCCAGCTTAGCTCAACAGTTGACACGTTTTTTTAGAAAAAAACCAGCATGTTTTATTGTCTTAAAATAAAACAAATTTATTTTTAATAAAGTTTTTTTTTATATACACTTAAAATATTTTAAATTGTCAACTACTATAATTTATAGAAATACTTTTTACGTTATATACAAATATATAATGTCATTTCAAATTTTTTTGAAATTTCAGTATGTAAATTTTCTATCAAACTTAAATTATTTTTTTGATTATTGAAAAATGAAAAATATCATAAAAATTGAGACCGCAAAGTATTATATATAGGATAAATTTTAGAAATTACGTAGTTTTTAAAATTCTCTTTAGTTTGTAATTACATTAATTTCTTAAAAAATAACACAAATTAAATACATTAATATGTAACTCAGATGCATTATACATAAGCCAGATACATAATATGTAACCCAGATATATCAAAAACAAGCTCGAATTCATTAAAAACTAATTCGAATACTTTATAAAAATAATCAAATATATTATATATATCTCATATACATTAAATACTGACTCGAATATGTTAATATGTAGTTCAAATATATTAAAAAAACGAAGATTCTTAAAAGAGATAGAAATACAAGAAAGTACTGGAAATAAAAGAAACATGAAAAGTGTATTTTTAGTAATTTTACCGTATATAGCCAAATGTTATTTTGAATTTAAGTTTTACCTTAATTTTAATTTGTTTATTTTATATTTATTCTTAGTCTATTTATAAATAATTTTTTGTTTGAATTTTTCCTTATTACATATTTTATAAGATTCCAAAATTTCTAAAAGTATTTCAATTTATTTTATTAAATATCATAATTTTTTTTGATATATTTAAATTTCATCTCAAATCAACAAAAAATTTAAGTGAAGTAAAAGAATGTATATTAAGTATTGATTGATTACATGTATATACAAAAATATTTTATAACAAAATTCAAATATTAATAATTAAAGAAGTTCAAAAAAATAATCATGTGTAAGAAATATCATTTACTATATGGCCAGATGAATTTTTAATAATTTAAAATTAGATTTTTTATTTCAGCCAGTTTTATAAAGATACGATGAGGCGTTTCGTAAGAAAATTAGCTCTAAATTACAAAGGCACAAATACATATTGTACTTTTAACTTATTTTATATTATATTTATGTCTTTCACTTTTTTTTTAATTGTATAAATAGATAATTAAGTTGATATAAAGTTATATAAATAAACAAACATGTTTTATGTGGTATGATAATTTGCATCATACCTAATATATTAAGCGTATTACACTACATGTAATTTATATATCCATTTAATTAGCTTTATAAAACTTAGTTTATTTATATTTTATATTAGGGTTATTCAAAATTGAATCGAAATTGATAAGCTAAATCGATAAAAAAGTTATTGATTTATAGTATTGAGTTATTGACTTAGTGGTTTTGATAAAAGTTTGATTTTTTTTGTTATCGAGTTATCGGTTCTTAACGGTTTGAAGGTTTTTCTTAACGGGTTAACCGATAACGCGATACTGAATTAAATAATTATATTTATACCAGTTTGTATAGAAAGTCCTCGACTTATAGTTTGATTTCCTACTTTTGTTTTTGGTTGTCTCAAACACTTGGTTATTCAACAATGTAAAAATATTTGCTTTTGATCAAGATGTAACATGTGAACTCAAGTGCATAGTTTATTTGGTTTGTCACCTTGTTTCTAAGTGATTTTCAATGTTTTTTCTTTTGTGTCAAATCTTAACGGTTAAACCGATAACTGAACCGATAACGATGAAGAATCGATAAACCAACAACCGACAAGTCAATATCTTAATGGTTCTATAACGATTTAACATCTCTACAAACCGATAACCAATAAGACAACCCGATAAATTTCAAAACCGAACAGAACCGACCCATGCACAATCCTACTTTTATACGCACCTTTAAATATCATAAATATAAAATAAAATAAATAAATAAAAAAAAGTTAAAAAACAGGTTACAATGTTGCCGCACTTTTCCTTTCTTTATTAACTTGCTTTCTTGACACCATACCGGTGTGTGCAACACCTCCGGCCACTTCAGTCCACCGCCGGTTGCCGGCGATCAACAGGTACTGTTTTATCTCTCTTCTTCTTTCTCCTTTCTGTTTTCTCTATTGCACTTTCTCTTCTATGTCAGTCACTGTCTCGCAACATCCATAACCCCTGTGAATTGAAATTGTTTTGCGATTAATAGAGAAGATTGTGGTTTAAGTTCTAATATTTGAGTGTTGATGCCTGAACTATATTTTCCCACGTAATTGGGAGGAGCCACTGCGTTATTGGTATTGGTTTAACTGTATTATGCAGGTAAGGTGTTTGATGAATTGTTTGAGTAATAAGTTCAGTCGTTGCTGAAGTTTGAGTGACCAAGATACATAAGGAGTTGATTATAAACAAGTGTTGGGTGGTTTTGGGTTGGTCGTCAAAATGAAAATTTTCCACAATTCAGATAAGCAGTCTTTTGGCATTGTATTGAATGTCTATCATCTTAAAAATGAAAATGTGACCGTCTCTGGTGACTATATTTTGTATTTGGAGAGGAGGTTAATCACATTGCGTGACTGCTGTCTTGTGTTGGGTTTAAATATTGTGAATATGGGAAATGTGGGGAACTAAGTAAATGGAAAAATGAAGTCATTTCTCACTCATCGGGAGAAGAGAGGAGAAGTTTTGTGCTTATATTAGAAAACACTTTCTTTGGGGTTAAGTAGAGGGTGCCCTAAGCAGTGTCATCATCGCTCCCTCGGCCTCAACTTCGGCTTTGAAAAATGATGTGATTAATTAATTAATTAATTTGCGAATAGACATTTCCTTTCCCAAATACAATATGCCTGTTCTAAACAGATGAGTCTGTTCTAAATCAGGTGAGTGGCCATAAATATGGAGATCTCCTCTCAGTTTTCATTTTTGACTTTTCTCCTTCTGCATGGATTTTCTTACAAACAAAGTAGAGTTCGTGTGATTTCGTTGCTGACTTTTAAATTCGCTGAAGTTCTTGAAGTGTGAGATACCGCTACTTCTTTTTCGTTTTATCTTGGGAGAAAATAATCCACAATCTTGGATACAGTGAGGGGATTGGATAGTAATAAGGTTCTTGGGTTTCCTTAAGCCACAGTTCTTTCCTCAACAACATCTTTTGTTTTTAAGCGGGTGTTTTTTGGAATTAATTAGTAGTTAGTACTAAATAAAAATAAAAGTTTTGGTGTTGAATATTTCTCTCTAGCTATCTCGTGACTTGTTAGATACAAACATAATTAGACTTTTGAATATGAGTAAAATAAACTCCCCATGGATTTGTGTGGACTCTTGAATTGAATTGAGTCATTGACGAAAATGATGTTGTTAGTGACATTTAGGATCATGTTTTGACTCACTGCTCACTGATTGGCATTGGATTTATTTGCCTCAATTGTTCTTGTTGGGAGTTGGAATCGATCCGTCTCGAATATTTCATGTGTCATGTCAAGTGAGGTTTATTTGGAAAATTCATTTGCACACATTTTTGATCTAGAATTGTTTTTCGAGGTGAAATTTTGGGTATTACGTTGTTTGAGGAATGAAAAAAGGGCCTTTATTGGATTATTAGAGCCTAAATATGCTTACTTACATTATTTTTACCGCAGTCACCCCATTTGAGCCTTTTATCCTTTTTGTTGGCATCCATGTCATAACCCTTAACCTTTTGATATTTTATAATACTTTTACCCTATTCACGTGAGCACTTTAAAAACTTGAATGAATGCACATAATTCTAAGTATGGAGGTGATTGAGTTTTAGGCTTGAGCAGAATAATCAAAGCTCGACAAAAGAAGGCATTTTTGCGACATAAGAAGAACTAGTTGAAGTATTGGTGGTGCTTAAGGGAATTTCGAGTCACTTTTTATCCATATTTCTCCTACCATGCTCCCTACGTTACAACCCTATTCAAGTCCTAGTTGATCTTAGACTGAGTTTCCTACATTACTTGTTACATTTGAATGTTTTATGAGTGTGAGGGAATTCTTTCTATCTTTTATGTTTCTTGTGATACATTGGTTATATTGTGAGATTCTAAAAAAGACATTGGTTAAATTGTTATTGACTGGGACTTTCTTTTGATTGTTGGTGAGGGCCCATGAGTTAGGAAGGATAGGAGAAGTTACTGAACTTCTTAATTAAGGGCACTTGAGCAAGTGAAAGGAGTTAATACTTGAGGTTGAGATTTCAACTTGATTATTGTGGTAGTTTTAAAATCTTAGAAATTTTTGATTTTAAAATATGGGAAAGTTTTTAATGATTCATATGCAAGTAGACTAATTATTGATATCAACAAAGTCGTTGGTATGTTCTAACCCTAATTGAAATTTTGGCTTGGTTATCTTCGGAGTTTAAAGATGGATTGAACTTATTCTGTTATTGAATTTACCTTGCTCGAGGAAGAACAAAGGTTCAAGTGCGGGATGTTGATAGATATAATTAACCAACCCTACATATATCATATCATATGCACCCTCAAGGATCAAAAAGAGAGTAGGAGACCTATTGAAATAATTCACAGGAACTTCCTCCTCTTGCTTGAGTTGAATGTCATATAACTCTTAACAACAGAGTCAGATCACTAATATTCTGTGTGGAGAAATTTTCTTGAATATGCCGAAACAGAGACAAGTAGCCCCATATAGATATCAAAAAAGATCTCAAGAACGTACAGCTTCTAGACAATGTTGATAAAGCACAAAATAGCAGCAGTTATTCATATGGAAAGAAGGATGAGTGTCTAATAATTCAATCCTACCACTCTGCCAACTGCAAAATCAGTTCTCCTATTCGTATAGAGTACAAAATTTAGTATTCATTCTCAATTACCCTACATACTTTAGATGACATATCAAAGTATTAATTGCCCATTTCCCAATAGTCTGACATAACTTACACTGCTCCCAGGGAAAGATATTAGCTTAGTCCTTCTACCACATGTTGTTATTCCATACAGATGGAATTCACCTG